GTTGTAATCACGCTATATTTCCAACGAATTGAGAAATTAAGCTAAAATTTTGAACACATGTGTGTTTTGTCAATAGGCAGGTGAGGTTCGTAGACATTAAAAAAAGATATTCAATCCCGATTGTTTTACTTTTAAAGGTTTTCCTTACCTCGTGGTGGAGGGTATTAAAAGTTCGTCGAACTTACCGCCAACATAGTATGGAGGGTCGAACTTATCTCCACCATAGTATCGAGGGTATATTAAGTTTCTCATTCCGTTTGTAACACCTCGAAATATACATTTTAGACCCCACAACGTATATATATCTATATATATAAATGTAAGTTGTGTTAGTTACTACGCTTATAACTCAAGAACCGCTGGACTGATTTTAACGATTCATACAAATTCGGAATTGTCTCCTCTCCGAAAAGGATAATATCCAAAAAAATCGCGTAAAAATGTGATATTTTAACATTTTCATTTTGACTTTTGAAATGTACAATAGTAATGTTTTATTTTGCATGATTTTTTTTCCATTTTGACTTACTTTTTTCTAATGTACATTTGTAGTGTTTTTTATTTTTATTTTTGAATTCAAATATTAATACCAAATTATTTAATTGACTTGATTTCTTGAGAAATGAAATTGATGGCGAGTTACATGGAAATGTAGTACCAAATTATGTGGTGGCGAAACGGAATAGATGATGTCGAAATAATTTAATGCGGTCACACCAAAGTTAAAAGATAATTACTTTTTCAAAATCGTTAAAAAAAAATCACAAAAAAAGAGATCTCATTGCAACAATTCTCAAAACGGGAAAATATCGAAAAAAAATTTCCAATGGAATTGAATTTTAAAATAAAAGTACATTCTATTGACAAACTTTGTAAGGATCTTTAAACAGTTGCTGTAAAAAATCTCAACCGTCCAATGAGAGCTCAAAATGCAAAAATTTTTGGGAGTACAATCAGTAAAACACCAAATATTAGGGGTGCAAAATAGTAGAGCGAATGGGACTTTTAGTGAGAAAAGGATTTCTATCCTTCCAAAAATTCTTCCTGAACATTTAAGATAGCTTAAATCGCTTTTGCAGGTCATGATATCGATCATAAATAATCATCGTATGATTTAATCCATTTTTGGAGTCTTCGCCACTTTCTTCTATTTTTGGCCCTTATTTGGCATCTTTGTTTCTAAGGGAGTAGAGAACCTCTACGCATTAAATTTTCGGAGTAGCGCCAATATTGGTCTTGACCACTAAAAAATTGTATTTATGCTACCCTTGGGTAAGGAACCATCGTACAGATAATTGCCAAATAGAAATTTAATCATGTAAAGTCCCCACATTGGAGTATCCCCAAGTGTGTGATTAGAAAAGAAAAATTTGTATTCTATTGAATTTGTAACCCCCAAGAGAATATTGGTTGGGAACGTAGATTTGGGATATACATCTATATGAAATAAATTGTGAAAACATGAACAAATTACAAATATAAGAAAGTAGCACGGGACCGAATATTTGTTGAATCGTCATTGAATTATACTATGATGAAAAATATGGACTTTATGGGGTCTACAATTTACAATTTCAATGACAAATAAAATTAGTTCCCATATTACGGCAATGGGTGTAAAATAGTAATTATATTTGACCATTCTGAAATCAGTCTGACCTCAATGATGAAGTCATGCTATGTTGTTCTGCTATATTTTCGATTTGGCCTCTATTTGTCATCTTGGATTATAAGGATTATAAGAAAGTTTTCAATGTAGGTCGATGTTTCGCATTTTACCATATTTCAAAGGATTTGGCTAAAAATGTGTATTTGGGGGTGAAAATCTTACACAAAAATTTCAATATATCTACAAATTTTAGAATTTTCTCCATGTAATAGTACCCCCTCAAGTCCACCTTTTGGCGGACAAACAGACCGACATGGTAATGGGTTTAAAAAAGTAATTAACTTTGCCTATTCTTAAATCAATTAGCCCTCAATTATGAGTTGTACAAAGTACAGTAAATTCCAAATTACTGCTCATTTGACTAAAAATTAAAAACTAATCGACCAGTACGTGAACTTTTATAACATTCATATCTTTGAATAATTATGTTTTGACAAATATGCATAATAGACAAAAACTATGGGCCGGCAACGCGGACCGGGCCAGCTAGTATATATATATTCTTGATCAGTATAAAATTCTATCTCGATTTAGCGATGTCCTTTCGTGTGTCCGTCTGTCCGTGTGTAGAAATCAGTCTAGCTTCCGAACGAAATGAAGTACATTGATAAAATTTTACTCAAATGAATACCATGTCTGCAGGACTGGCCACGTGGTCCACGTTTTGGTCTATCCCCCATATAACCGTACTTCCTGACATTCGGTATTTTGATGATTTAAGATTTATTCACCAGAATTGTTTCAAAATTGGTTTTTAAAGTTCTAAATTGATTCTACAGCCTAACACAGAAACTTGTTTGTGCAGGTCCACGTCTTTGTATAGCCGCCATATAACGGTACCTCCCTATATTCGGTATTTTGATTATGTTAGCGACATTGCTCATCGGAATTGTTTCAAATTTGGTATTTGAAGTTCGTAATGGATACTGCAGTCTAAGGCAGCAAATTGTCTGTGCAGATCCACATTTTGGTATAGCCCCCATATAATAGTTCCTCCCTATATTCATGATTTTAGCTACAATATTCAACGATTTTTTTAAGTTTCGCATTTGAATATTGTTATGGCTTATGACAAATGTTAGCTACGCAGGTTCATGTCGTCCATATTATTATTATTATTATTATTATTACTATTACTATTATTATTATTATTACTATTATTATTATTATTACTATTATTATTATTATTTGAAATTTTAAGAAAATGGGACACAAATTTCACATTTTCAACCTTTCGTGGTTAAGCTTTGAGGAACATGTGTTAAACATAAACAACAACCATATATCCCATATCCCACTTGCCATACAAATGCGTATCCAAGATACAGAAAGCGAGGCTCATAAATATTGACCAAACTGCAGGAGTGCAACCAACTCAAAATAAAAATAAATCCAAAAAATAACAGAAATTCTGTAATGCATGAAAGCTAACTTATTTGGCTGAATCATAAAAACTACCGAAAATCTAAAGGAACCGTCTGAATTTGAATAGCTTTATATATTCTTTTTAGTCCACCATACTAGGACGGTATATTAATTTTGTACTCATATTAGATTCAACAAAGTATAAATATTTCTGATCAGCGTAAAATACTAAGTCGATTTATGTTCGCCTACCTGTCTTTTATAATCACGAAATCTTATGAACGAACTCAGATAGAAGGCTAAGCATTTGCAGTATTCGGTATTTTAACGATTTAAACCTCTTTTTATACCGATATTATTTAAAATTTGGTTCTTCGGTTCTATTTCTTGTAGCAGATTATTGTTTATAAAGGTTCGCGTTTTCCTATAGCCCCTATATAACGACACCTTGCGAAATTCGGTATTCTGATGTTTTTAGCCACGTTTTTCAGCGGAATCGTTTTGATACAGTTCGGTTCGTTAGTAGTGGGTTCTACCTCCTGTGACAGAAGATTGCAGGAATATACCCACGATTTCTGATATCACACATAAAACGGTACCTCCGAATATTTTTTTTTTACCCTCCACCATTCTATGGATGGTATATTAACTTTGTCATTCCGTTTGTAACTCCTCGAAATACTCATGTCAGACCCAACAAAGTATATATATTCTTTATCAGCGTAAAATTAAAATTAAACTAAGACGATTTAGCCATGTCCGTCTGTCTGTTGTAAACTTTCGAATGAATTGAGATAGAAGGCTAAAATTTTGCACACATGTTTAGTTTTCCAGTAGGCAGGTTAAGTTCGTAAATGGGCCATGTAGGTCCACGTTTTCATATAGCCCCTATATAACGGTACCCCCCTATATTCGGTATTTTGATGATTTTTGCAACATTATTCACCGGAATTGTTTCAAATTTGGTATTTGAAGTTCGAATTGAATACTACACCCTAAGACAGAAAATTATCTATGCTGGTTCAGGTCTTCGTATAGGGCCCATATATCAGTACATCCCTATATTCGTTATTTTGACGATTTTAGGTACAATACCCACCGAAATTGTTTGAGGTGTGGTATTTGAAGTTCGTAATGGATGCTACAGCCTGCGACAGAAAATTGTCTATGCAGGTCCAGGTCTTCGTACAGCTCCGATATAACGGTACCTCCCTATATACGATATTTTGATGATTTTAGCAACATTATTCACCGTTTATTTCAAGTTGCGAATTTGAATATGGTAATAGATTATGACAAACAATGCCTATGTAGGCCTACATCGTATACACCTCAATATAATGCCTATATTTGGTATTTTTAAAATTTTAACAGAATGTTTTAATGATTTTATTTTCTGAAAATTTCCAAATTCGTTCCGAATGATGGAGGGTATTCAAAGTTCGGCCCGGCTGAACTTACTACTTTTTGACTTGTTTTTTTTTTTTTTTTTGTTTTTTGGTGATCTCAGAAACATATTTTAACAGATTTGTTTTGAACCGTTTTCACTGGCAAAATCCCAAAAAGACCCGATATTCAATTCCAATACTTTTATTTTTAAAGGTTTTCTTTACTTCATCGTGGTGGGTATGGAAAAATCGGTACGGCCTAATTTTATTGTTTTTTATCTGTTTAATTTTCAATAACAAAATCTGCTCAAAATATACAAACTCAATATTAAATATTACGAGCTTTGACTTAATTTTCACTGACGAAGCATAGCCAGTGAATACTGTTTTTTTTTCTGTCGATTAGAGTCCAAAGAGCATGCATGTAAACACTTATCTAAAAAAACTGCCGAAATCGCCAACATGTTAATTGAGTTGTGTAATCGTAAACAAAGAAGAAAAGAAACATGCCAATAAACTGTAAACAAACCGAGATAACGAAGAAATACGACTCTTCCACGGTTCCACACCATACTTACCGGATTCAAGAGAAACAATATTGACAAAAGAACTGGAAACTGTGTGGAGAATTGCGCCATGGTTGCGGGTGCAAGTAGTTATTGTAGTTGCTGGGTCAGCCAGTCAGCTGTGGTGGAGCGATGTGATACGATTAATTATGTATGAAGTCGTTTGTTTATTGCAAAGCAAAAACTCGGACCGAAACAGCAACTGATGCGGTGACACTGCTTCTGCTACTACTACGACTACTGATCATCAAATCTTGCCGGTTTATGACAATTTATTTTTTGGTTTTGTTTTTCAATGAGCGTTTGATCACTTTCGTTAATTTCAAAATGTTGTTTTCTCAGTTGTTGTCTTCTTTTTCTATTATTGTTTGGTTTTATTTTTTTAATTCGGTTACTAACTCTGGCCAAAAACTGGACAGAGGTGTCGGGGTAGTTTCTGTTTTTATGCTAGGTTTTGAATTTCTCCAGAAATTCTTGTTAATTAGAAACGTCTTGTGTGACGTTCGTGTTGTTCAAAATTTAATAACTTGATTTAACACGGCTTGTTGTTTTAAGTAGGTAGGTAGGTTCCACAAACAATGTTTGCTTTTTATTGTTTAAACATTCGATATTGTTATTCACTTGAGTAGCTGTGGCAGCTGTTGTTGCTTACTGTCAATGACGAAACCCGCTTCTCATCTGTTTGACAATTAAGAAAGCGACTGACGTTTTGTTTCGTTTAGTCTCGTTTTATATTTTCGAATTCTTTCTTGGCTTATTTCCTTCGATGTTTACGACGATAACAACACCAACTAAAAATTCGGTTTGCAGACAGGCCACAACAATAGCAACAACATGAATGCAGTTCGATTACTAAAAGAGGCATTAAGCAGACACCGTCAATTTTTAATTTCTCAAATAAAGCAATAACAAAAACAACAACAGCATTATCCAATCCAAAAACAGCACTTGGCTTCTTAATTTGAGTAAAAGTTTATCGAAAGAAATTTGACGTCACAGCCATTTGATCGCTTGAACTTATATTCGATATTCAACAAACAAATCAAATTTAATTCTAATAAATTATTAATTAAAATAACACTTTTTGTTGTATATTTTGAAATGTGCCTAAATTATTTGACGATGTTTTTCGATCGACAGACCGGACACCACCACTAAGCGAGCACCACACACTGTCCGTTACAACTAATGAGACGAATCGCCGGCTACACACGGTTTCTGGTGAGTATGGCTTTTGAACTCAAATAAGCAAGTGCGGTTTTGGGAGAAACGCTTTTAGGTTTTGAATAACACCAACAACAAATTGACTCTCTGTGTTTTTTTATTGGTTAGTGGGCTTGCATTTGTGAGAACGGGTAGGTAAAATTTGACTCATTTTTGTATGCACTGCATATTAGAGATGGGAAGTAATGATTGTAACCTATATAGATATATCGGTCCACATTATGGTACAGCCCCCATGTAACTGTACCTCCTCATATTTGGTATTTTAACGGGATTAGACACATTTTTATACGAATTTGTCCAAAAATTGGCATTTGTAGTTCATAATGGGTTCCAGCTCCGCTAATGGAACATTGTACATTGTAGATATTCGGTATTTAAATGGTATCAGTCACATCTTTTACGATTTTTTCCAAAAATTTGTAGTGCGTAATGGGTTGTAGCTCCGGTGGTGGAACGTTTACGAATAGCCATCATACAACGGTACGACCCATATTCGGTGTTTTGATGATTTTTTCCATATCTTTTCACGAATTTGTCTAAAAAATAGTAATTGTAGTTCGTAATGGGTTCTAGCTCCGGTGGCGGAACATTTTACGCCGTTTTTGTATGGCCGCCATATAATGGTACCTCCCGACATTTTGTTAATTTCTGCAACATTTTTCTAAGAATTTGTTTAAATAATCGCATTTGTAGTTCATAACGGGTTCTAGCTACGTTGAAAGAACATTGAATATCTAGGTCCACGTTTTTCTGTAGCGCACATATAACCGATACCCACCGATATTCGGTATTTTGATAATCCTAGTCACATTTAGCCACGAAATTATTTCAAATTCCGTATTTAAGAAGAGTTAGTAGATGACAATACTTAAAGTATAGAATCATGCATAGAGGTTCCCGTTTTGGTACGACCCCCATATAACGGCCTCATCCACTTTATGGTTTTCTGAAAAGTTTGACAGCACGTTTGAATTCAGATACTTATATATACAAATGTTTTCTTTACCCAAAGCTGGAGGGTATAAAAAGTTCTTGCCAATATTTTCATATGAATTTGTTTAATAATATCGTATAGTACTAAAATAGACTTTAATTAAATGGCTTCAACAATATATACATATTTACAGGGTGCGATGAAAACACTGCAACCAGCTTCAGACTGCTGTCATTTATAAGCCACTCGTCCGAAATCTGTTACAATTATTCCAGTGACAGCTCATTATATTGTTTACCAGCGTACAAAATGCTTTTGTATTTTGAGAATTTTCCAGAAAAAATGTTACTCGAGATGGATTTCAAGCGTGATTTCTGTATATTTGGCTGGAAAACCACAAGTTGCTATCGTTAGAGCACTTCAGCATTTACATGTGAATAAATCATTTGTGTCTCGTACCATCGCTCGTTACCATGATACTGGTAGCTTAGTTCGACGTCAAGGAAGTGGAAAAAACATATCGGAATATTCCATTCGGCAAATATTGAAAAATGAGCTCGGGGTAATGCCATTGAAATTCCAAAAAGTGCAAGAACTTACACCGCAACATAAAGAAAGTATACTCAAAAGAGCAAATGAGTTTCTTCGCTTGGCCACAAGTGGTGACCTACTGAATTTGGTTTTCACCGATGAGAAAACATTCGTTGTCTAGCAGTTTGCAAACAAACAAAATGATCGTATTTACTTGCTAAAGAGGTCAGCTGAAAATGTACACCTTCGGTAGGCCACCAGAGCTCAAGCACCGGCCATGGTGATGATGTGAGCCGCCATAACAACCAACGGTCGCTCTCCGCTCGTAATAATCGACCGTGGCCTCAGAATAAATGCCGAATATTATCGCGAAAATATTCTGGTTGTATTAAAGCCTTGGGCACGTGCTTCGCCGGGAATGGACAAAATACCACAGAACAACATTCGGGCAGCGTGTGACGGTTTCATTGGCCGTTTGAAGGCTATATTTCGTGCCAAAAGTGACCAATTCGCACAAATCTAAACTTATTCTCAAAGTTGATGCCATTTTCGACATTTTTGCTTCCATTCAATAAAGTTTAAAAAATATATTTTTGAGTTATAGCGTTTCACTTCATTCTTTAATGCATATTTTTTAAAAAGTATTGTTGGCTTAAATATTTGATGTATATGATCATTTAATATAAGAGTTAGAAACCTAAATGATAAAGCAAATCTGTCAAAAAATATATATCACCCGCTTATGATAGCCTCATGTAAAAGCTTTCGAATATCGCTCTGCCTTTTGTTTAATTTTTTTTCCACTTCATAATTGAGGGCAAAATGATTTCAGGATAGTCAAAGTAATTACTCTTTTTCACCCAATACCATAGCACCTCAAATCGTGCGCTAGGGTCCCCATTAATGCTGTGTTTTTGATCATAGTAGATCATTATAGTTCACAGCAAATTTTGAAAAAGATCTGCTAATAGAACTTGAGGCGAGCTTGGAGAGTTCCTAGTGTTTAATTCGCATATGCTAAATCGCAATAAAATCGAAATAAATACTTCTTTCCAGAGAACGGCCCTTGTAAGCCATCATCCACACCAAATATGCCTGATGAGTGGTGAGTGTGATAGTGTCTATTTAGCTTTCCTTTTCGCTGCAAATTTCAGATCATTAGGCTCGTCTCGAAAGAGAAACGAACACATAAATCATAAACATATGATCTTCGCCTTAACAAGGCAAAACTCAAAAAAAAAAAAAAAAAAAAAAAAAAAAAAACAGTGAAAATGTACAATATAACTAAATATGCCATCGCTGGTATACATGCACTCTCACTTTTCTCATGTATCGGTTTCACATGTCGTGAGTAACAAAGCTGAGCTACGTTAAAGCTTGGAGTAGAATGACGGTGAGGAAAGCTGTTTTCTATGTTTTTATATTTGTTTTAGTTTCATTTACTTGTTATTTGTTTATTCAAGTTTGTTTGTAGACATATTTATATACTACCCAGAGGCGTCACACTGCGGGTACAATATACAAAAAATATGTGTATTAAAATAAAGCGTAATGTTCTTTCATTTTAAGTAAAAAAAGGCTGAACATATTAATTTGGTTTGATTTAAGGATGGATAAATGATTTACGGTGTCACCAATGAATGAGACATGGATCATTTTTTATTCACAATTAAGAAAAAGTATCTCACTTTCAAACGAATGTGTCTCTTTGGAAGGATTGTTTATACTTCTGTCTGAGTTTTTTTATCAAATCGCCTTAAAAATATGATTTTATATAATCTTGTGTAAAAGCTCTTCAAAATATGATACAAGAATATAAAGGTTTAAAAAAAGTCCCATCATAGATAAATAAAATGCTCAAAGTTAGTAAGGAGAAAGGAATAAATGGATAATTTGCCTTAGAACTCTAAATATTGACATCTGTTAAATAACGGTATGATATTTTGTCATGTTTGACAAGTCTCAAACGTTTTTATGCAAAACCGCATTAGCATTTTGACCAGGGACATTTGCCCAATTTTTACGCACTCCGTCGTGCTGTTAATTATTGTGGTCAATTTCACAGCAAAATATGGTCATCCAAAATTCCCTGTACTTAACTCTCTTCACAGGCGTGTCGATCGCCTTCCATTGTGTGATAAGGATTTTTTCTGTTTTTGGTTCATTTGAAACCCTAAGGCCCCTCTGTATCTCTAAATTTAGACTCATCTATATGATTTGCTTGTCTACGAAATTTGGCTATATTCGTCAAAGGAATCAGTATAAAAAAGCCAGAAGTTCGCCTTTTGTGTATTACGGATATCGCCTGTAAGTAATGTTGGTATTTTTTCACACAGAAATAGTGGTCCATTCTACCCGCTGTCCCAAACTGTAACTTCATGCGAGATTTTGTGTCCATTGGTTTCTATTTGTGACCTTTATAACTGCTGCAAAACCAGGAACATTTTTAGTTGCTGGTCCATTTCAACCCCTAAATATATTGCGGATATCTTTGAAAGCAATAGGCCTAGCCCTTCTGAGCCTAATCCTACCCTTGCAATCTGTATATAATAACCCCAACCTGTGTTATAAGGTGAAAAAAATATTACAAAATATACACTTCAATATTGTAAGTCAAATTGATAAAAAATATGAAAAAATAAAAAAATGTCACAAAATACTAAAAAATCTATATTAAAATCATTATTGGCATCTTTTTATATGATTTTTTTTTATATTTTCTTCTTTTATGCCAAGAGGGCATTCTGAATTGACAACATTTGTCAAAATCGGTCCAGCCATTCTTGAGATATAAGCATTCTAACTGACATCCCCTTCCTTTGTATATACACATTGTATATATTTCGCTATATATAACCGATATATTTACTATCGGCATCTACGTAACGGTCAGAATTGACCTGTTCGTCTATTTGTGATTTCGCCGGGATTAAAAATATTCGCGGTTTAATGGAAAATTTGACTTTTATTTAACACAAATGTTATGGTCTATTTCATCCACTAAATAATACCCGATGACCATCAAAATTGGAAGGCTTCTGCCCAGCCCTAGGCTCTAACCCATGCTAACTTCCGCTTCGATTGGTCTATAAAATGACCATCAAAATTGGAAGGCTTCTGCCCAGCCCTAGGCTCTAACCCATGCTACTTCCGCTTCGATTGGTCTATAAATGCGACCTGTATAGCAACTGAAAAATCAGCACATTTTTCAGTTTTTGGTCCATTTCAATCCAACTAAATAGTATACGATCATCTCAAAAAGAAATAGGCTTCTAATCTGGCCCTAGTCCCACATCCATTCTAAATTTCGTGAAGATCGGGCCATACTTGCGACCTGTAAAGTGATTACATATTAACATGTACAGACGGACGGACGGACATACATAGTACACACCAAATTCCGGCGGTTGTAATTTATTGCTAATTTGTAATTACAAATTATAAACAATTCCGAAAAAATTGGGCCAGTATTATTAAAATGACGAATATCGGGAGGTGCCGTTATATGG